CAGTACGTGTCGTAACAGGTACTCTATCATTAGGAGAGTAGATAGGGCAATCTGCCACTCTGATCTGCTCAACCAGACAGTTTGCTGTCTCCCAGGTGCTCGGCATGTTGCTGACAGAGTGGATGGATTATTGGGAGGGGCCTGGGATGACCCAGCGGTCATGGTCCATGTTGGTACCAATGACAAAGTAAGAGGAAGATGGAATGTCCTAAAGAATGATTTCAGGGAATTAAGTAGCAAACTTAAGAAAAGGACCTCCAACGTGGTATTCTCTGAGATATTACCTGTGCCACGCGCTACAGTGGAAAGCAGCAGGAGATTAGGTTTTTAGAGCACTGGGCTGACTTTGCGCCTGGGTACAACCTTTATAGCAGTGATGGGTTGCACCTACATGGCAGAGGGTCTGCACTGCTGGGGGATAGGATGGCTAGAAGGTTGGAGGAGATTTTAAACTAGTAGTAGGGGGGAGGGTCATAGCAATCTACAAAATGCAGATAGGACTTTAGCTCAGTATAAGGGGGTGGAGATGGGGGGAGGGGCAAGCTTAGAACAGAGAAGATATGTAATGTTGATAATTCACAAAAAGTACAAGTGACTCATAATATAAAATGTATGCTTACTACATAACAAAATAGGAGAACTAGAGGCATTAGCATACACTAAACAATATGACACAATAGTCATAACTGAAACATGGTGGGATGAAACACATGACTGGGCAGTTACAGGGAATGGGTACACGTTATTTAGGAAGGATAGAAAAAACAGGAAAGGTGGTGGGGTATGTTTTTATGTCAGCCATGAGTTAAAGTCAAATCTTAAGCAAGTGGAATGTAATGAGGAAAATGTGGAAGCTTTATGGGTTAATATCGGCTTGGGGCAAAAAAAGGGAAACCAACTATTGGTTGGGATATGTTATAAACCACCTAATGTTAATATTGATGAGCAACAACAGCTGTTTGAGCAAATTGAGAAAGCTGCAAATCTGGGTAACACTTTAATTATTGGAAATTTGAATTACTCGGGCATAAATTGGGACAGAGGGGCTAGTAGCTCGGCAAAGGGAATTACGTTTTTGAACTTGATAAATGACACCTTTATGTCATGTGATAGAATTTATCTTGATTCCAAGGCGCAAGCTTATAGGTGTCACATAATGATATCCTATATTAAAATTGGCTAACTTGGACTCAGGAAAAGAAATGCTTGATGCTTAATACAACACTTAAGACCATATATGTCTAGTTCCGGGAGCAGAGAGCCCCCACAGGAGATGTCTCTTCTCTAATCTAAAGCATTTAAGTTGGACAAATCAGATGCATTCTATAAAAGATATAAGGAAGCCAATAATGCGTGCAAAAAGGCGACTAGATTCGCTAAACTTCAAAATTAAAAAAATGATAGCCAATGAGAGCAAAACCAACTCCAAAGCATTCTTTAAGTACATAAGTTCTAAAAAAACAAAAAAATGAAAGTGTAGGAACTCTAAAAACTGGAATGAAGACCAGGAAAAGGCAGATATTTAAAATAACTATTTATCCTCCATATATATTAAGGAGGAACCCATGACAATAGATGTGCAAAATATGATTGCTGCTTAAAACTTGCAGAAAAATCGTAATTGGTTAACTCAAGACAAGGTGCTGCAGCAACTAAAGAAAAGTAATATAAACAAAGCGCCAGGGCCTGACGGTATTCATCCACGAGTACTTAAGGAACTAAGTGTAAAAATAAGTGAACCTCTGTTTTTAATCTTTCAGATGTGGTTCCAATGTTCAAAAAGGGTTCAAAATGCTTGCCTGGAAATTGTAGACCTGTGAGCTTAACTTCTGTGTATTCAAAAGGTTATTAAGGGATAATATTGAAGAATTCCTTGAGAAGAACATGGTTATCAGCAAAAATCAGCATGGTTTTATGAAGCACAGGTCATGTCAAACTAACTTGATTGCATTCTACTAAGAAGTAAGTAGAAGTATTGATCAGGTTGTTGTAGTGGATGTGATCTATTTGGATTTTTGCCAAGGCATTTGATACAGTTCCACACAATAAATTAGTATTCAAACTCAAAGAAATTGGTCTAGATGAAAATGCTTGTTCTTGGGTAGAACATTGGCTTTTAAAATAGAGTAAAAAGAGTCATTAATGGTAAATTCTCAAGCTGGACAGAGGTGGCAAGTGGTGTCCCTCAGGGTCCTGTTCTGGGACCCCTTCTATTTAATATGTTTATAAATGATCTTGAAAAACGTATTGAAAGTCATGTTTCAGTGTTTGCAGATGACACAAAACAAAGTAATACAATGTGAGCAAGATATTACTTTGCTGCAGAGGGATTTAGATAGGCTTGGGGACTGGGCACTCAAATTAGAGATTAAATTTAATGTTGAAAAATGCAAAGTTATGCACTTCGGCATAAAGAATGCACAAGCAACGTATACCCTTAATGGAAGCAAATAAGGGATAACAACACACAAAAGGACTTGGGGATTGTTATAGACAACAAACAATGCAACAATGTGCAATGTCAATGAGCAGTGGCAAAGGCCAGTAAGGTATTGTCATGCATGAAAAAGGGCATTCATTCTCTGGATGAGAATATCATTTTGCCTCTTTATAAATCACTGGTAAGACCACATATTGAATATGCTGTGCAATTTTGGGCACCTGTTCTAAAGAAGGATATTACGGCATGAGAAAAAGTGCAGAGGTGGGCTACAAAATTAATAAAAGGAATGGAACATATCAGCTATGAAGAAAGGTTAACAAATTTAAACCTCTTTAGTTTGGAAAAATGTCGCCTGAGAGGGGATATGATAGCATTATACAAATATATTCAGGGCCAATACAAACCATTAAGTGGAAAGCTATTCACAAACTAGACTTTACATAGGACATGAGGTCATGCATTTAGACTGGAAGAAAGAAGATTTTGTCTAAGACAAAAAAAAGTTTTTTTTTACTGTAAGAAAAATAAGGATGTGGAATTATCTGCCTGAAGAAGTGGTTTTATCAGAGTCCATACAGATCAGGCATGTGCATAGGAAAAAATTTCAGTTCGGAATTCCGAAATTTGGGACTTTGGCAATTCGGAATTTCGGGAACTTCGGCACTTCGGCACTTCGACACTTCGGATCTTTGGCAACTTCGGCACGTCGACACGTGAGGCTGGCTAATAAACAGTGAGCAACCAGTGGCTGCTCACTGTTAAAAAAAAAATAATAAAAAAAGGGTACCCCCTCCCGAGCCACAACCCCTGAGCGGCGGGGCCCTAAATTAGAATAAGTGGGGGGACATATTGCCCCCCCCAGCCCCACCCAGCGGGTAGGGTCCCCAAAGCGGTGGGTGGGGGCCAGGGGGGAAGGACATTAAGTCCCCCCAATTAGTATTTAGGGCCCCCACCCACTCAGGGGTGGGGGCCGGGCGGAGGACAATAGGTCCCCCCCCATTACTTTACTTTAGGGTCCCCACCCACCGCTCATGGGTGTGGGCCGGGGAAGGACAATAGGCCCCCCCCTTATTTTATTTAGGGCCCCCACCCACCATTCAGGGTTGGGGGCCGGGGGGGGTGGGGAATAGGTCCCCCCTTCAGGTTAGAAGCCCCCACTTGCGTGGCACGGGTGGAGGCTCGGGAAGGGGGACACAGGTTTATTTGGTTAATTTACAGTGAGCAGCCACAAGTATAGCAAGTAGAGGCATAATCTTTACTTAGTATTAGTAAATTTGGCTGAAAGACCAATTTAGGTCTTTAAGCCTTTTAGTAGATAACTCCCTAATACCGTGGGAATTAAGGAGTTATCTACTTATTCATTCCTGTCATTCCATTGACTGGCTAAGTAACTTACATTTTATATGAATATGTGTTACTTGATTGTTGTAAGTGTTGCAAATGCTTACAGCTGAACCCTGGCTATGTTTGTAAACTTTTTATTTAAACTTGTATACAGTGTAATATTCTTCATTCTTCCACTGGGTAGGTATATTAGTACTTCGGCAATACTGTGCTTCGGAACTTCGGCACTTCAACACTTCAGAACTTCAGCAACTACGGAACTTCGGCACTTCGGAACTTTGACACTACGGAAATTTGTCAACTTCGGAACTTCGGCAATTCGGAACTTCGGCAATTCAGCAATTCAGCAATTCGGACATTCGGAAGTCTCCGAATGTCTGAATTGCCCTAAATGTCTACTGGGTCAACTTGTGACACTTAATGATATGGTGAGTGGGTGGGGTGGAAGGATAGTATAGGGAGATAAGCCCCCACTACCAGCAGGATAGGATCCGTCTCTAGTTGTTAGTAGAATTAAACATAATAATACATAAAATATTAGGTGTACAGCTTAAAAGCTAAACAATATAAGAAATGGTTTAGGTGCAAATGAGCCTTCAAGATATGCGGGTTTCCCTGTTAGGCGTTTGGTATGAATGGGCGAACCCTAGCAGGGTCTCAAATATTTGGCTTGGGTAGGTGTTACGGTTGCCTCAGGCTAGCTGAGGGTTGGACTGCTTGGATGTCCTTATACCCGATCCTGGAAAGTGGTAGAAAGTTCCAATTCAGGGGGAGGGTGAACATGTTTTTTTTTGTTTTTTTTACAGTGAGCAGCCACAGGCTTTAGGTCTTTCAGCCTTTTAGTAGATAGCCTTTTAGAGTTATCTACTTATTCATTCCTGTCATTACATTGACAGGCTATGTAACTTTCATTTTAAATGAATGTATGTTACTTGATTGTTGTAAGTGTTGCAAATGCTTACAGCTGAATCCTGGCTATGTTTGTATACTTTTTTTTTTAAATTGTATACAGTGTAACATTCTTCTTCTTCCACTGGGTAAGTATATTAGTACTTAGGCAATACTGTGCTTCGGAACTTCGGCAATTCGGCACTTCGTCAACTTTGGAACTTT